GATTATATATTATATCACAATTAATAATGTAAATAAATATTTTGGTACGATTTATTTCAACGCGCTCCAGTTTGTCTCTTCCAGCATGTAAGGTTTAGCGATGTGAGTGAGAAAAATTGAGGAACATGATGGTACATTTACGAAGAAACGAGGAAAAAAGGAAAAACAGACATTTTCGAGACTTTGCTAACGATTTGTGCGCGACTGCCGCTTCTTTCCGCTTCGCAATTAATCCGACTTTTCACTCGATCGTCTCCTTCTTTCTTTCAACCCCATCCCGTGCTTCTGACACTCGACCTTCCCGCTGGACCGCATTTCCAGACCTTGTTGAATCGAATGAACCGTGTCTGACCAAGTTTCCCTTAGTCTCAGTCAATCTACTGTCTTTTATGTGTCTAGTGAACTTATCAATTTATTTCACAATATTTCGTTCTTTGTTCTTTTCATATCGAGTAAGAGAGACATATTTGGGATTTCAAATGAAGACAAAGTGGAGATAAATTTGTGGCAATTGTGGGTTTATAAAATTTCTGAAATACTTGAAGGGTTGTTTGATTTTTGTTTCCTTTTCTTTGGATTAAAACGGTCTTAATATATTTAGTATCCATTAATACTAACTCCACTAATTGCAATTTTTCCAATTTTAATACTGTTCGTGATTTGCGAACTTCGCGACGCGATGCGTAATTCGACCGGTGCGCAAAGAATTCACGAACTGCTCTCGCGGCAAACTAATGGCACGAGTGCTGTTTAAATTTGTAGATGAGATTTGTGGTGGGTGAAAAAGAGATATATGTTTTACACGATAGACAAATACTGGCTGATTGGTGGTGACTGTTACTTTTTATTTTTCGTGATGTCTCAAAGTTGGTGATAGAATCTCTGATCGAATCTCTGTGTGTGTTTGTGTTTTTATAAGTTCGATGTGTACAGTGATTGGTGGTGTGAAATGTGTGAGAAGTGGTGGGAGTATCGGTTGATTGGTGTTTGGGACGTGTGGTAGGGTTTGTCTGGTGGAGTCGAAGTGGGGAAATTGTTGCTAAAATTGTTATATTAGGGGATGGGAAAATCCTGAGGTCGGAAGGTGGTTTATGAGTGTAGTGCATGTGGTGTCCAGATGTAGGGTATTCGACTTTCTAAGGTAATAAAACAATTTGCTGATGGCGAGGAGAGAGACCAATTTACGGAAAATATATTATTTGTGAATATGGTAGGGCTCCATTGTTCGAGTCCTCGGTACGGTCGAACAAATACCAAAGAACACAAGTGGAGCTCAACTTTTCATACATAACACAAATTCAATCAATTTCGATTAATGGAGTCAATCCCTTGGGATTTTGTGTGGCTCATATGTGGCTCAAAAATATATCAAATTAACCTATATATATATATCCTTTCAAGGAAAATACTAATTTAGAATTAGAAACATTCTAATTTATCAAACATATCTCTAAACCGGATAATAAAAATTCAAAACGATCACACTAATTACAACCTCGGTAAAATATAAAACTTGCACTTCCATTAAAAATTCGCCCATCATTTTTTCTTCACTTTAAAAGTTACAGCTCATTTACCCATTCGAAAGTATCCACAGAGAAAATGAACCCTCTTTAGCGCAAAAAAAAAGAAAAAATGAAATAAAAAAAGGACAAAAAGAAAAGCTCCCTTTTTATTAGAAAACGTAAACGAGATTACGCGCTGGTTTTTCGTTCGTTCGTTCCAGTCGAAAACCACCGACGATTTTGCATTCGCCAAAAATTAATCCTACCGCTTCAAACAGCCTCCCTTGATAACGCGCGGTCTTTCGCCAGAATTCTCGTCGTTCGTAACCTACAATTTCCGGCGCGTTGATTTCCGGCGAGAGGATAAAGAGAGAAAAAAAAAAAAGAAACGACGAAACAAACACGCCACGGCGTTGATTAACATTCCCCGTTCAATCGAGTCAAAGGATGCACCCCAAAGCCATCCCCTTCCATCCTATTTATTCTCCCTCTTTTTTTTCTTTCATTTGGTCCCCGGACTATTTGACCACCTTTGAAAGCTGCAAGAAGTCGAGTTTGAGCGCTTCCAGCTCGCAAATTACTACTTTTCAGGGGCGGATTTTTCCGGTTTTCGGGCAACGTAAATTACACACTGACCAATTTCTCGCCCTTTCAAGGCTGGCAGATTAAAAAATTTACTATTATCAACTTTTGAAATTCTTTTCAAAGCGTTCCTCAAGATTCTGAAATGATTACTTCCGCTATGGAACTAGAGAAATTTTAATTCTCCAGGCTCTAATTTTGGAAACTTCGCGAAGCATAAAAACTGTAATTTTAGACTTTGTAGCGTAGACTTCTTTCGTATCGCTACAACAGTTTCTTCCGCTTCGAAAGCCGTGGGACGAGGGAAGGGAAGGGAGAGGAAGGAAAGAGATCCTGAGACGCCAATGGGTTCGGTATGATACCTTCCTGTGGACTAGGTTGGAGATGCCTTGCCGAGGGTACTGAGGACGAAAGTGA